GGGCTGCGCTGGGCGCGGTCGCTGCTGCCTTGCATCGCGGGCGACGCGCGCTGGCGGCGGTCGCCCACCGTCGCCGCCTGCGATGCGCCCCCGCGGGGGTAGTCGTCGTCGCGGCGGAGTGGGGGGCGGCAGACGCGCTGGCGCACATGAGGCTGTCAGGCCGCAGCCGCTCCCGAGGGCCGCTCGCCGCTGCCGAGGCGCCGCGGGGCCGCGCGCTGGAGGCGGAGGTCGCCCAGGCGCCAGACGCCGCGTTGGCGATTGCTGGCCGCGCCTCCGAGTGCCCCGAGGTTAGCCCCGCGGCCTTGGCGGGCTCGGAGTGGCGCGTGATGGGCTGCGGCCGCTGGCGACGCCGCGAGGCCATCCATTGCCTGGGGGCTGCGGCAGTCTGCTGGGCAGTGCGCCGCGTGGCGAAGGACGCGCGGCGCCACAGTGTGCATCACCTCGTGCTCGGGGATAGCACGTCAGTTACGTTGGCGCTTGCGAAAGGAAGACCTTCTCACCATCGTCTTCCCTTGACTTGTCGGACTGCGTTCGCGCTCAGTGTTGCGGCAGACATCAGAGTCCACAGTCGATGGGCCCCGTCAGAGTGGAACCCCAGCGACGAGGCCCCCCGTCGGCATCAGCCGCCTGGGCTCAAGGAGAAGTTCGAGCGGCGAGGGGCCCCCGCGCCCCGCGGGGCGGCGCGTGCGGTGGCGGGCGCCGACGGGGCAGACGCCTGCGCCGCCCGCCACCTGGAGTTCAGGTCCAGGCCAGGCCGCCGCGAGATCCTCGCGCTCCCGTTCGGCCAGGCGAGCAGCCCCTGCCCCCCGTCGCACCGCTGCTGGGCGCCGGCGCCAGGGCGCGCGCAGCCGCGCAGCTTGCGTGGGCCACGCGCCGATTGCGTCGACCTGTAGCTGCAGGCGCCGGTGGAGGCCGAGCGGCAGCAGCTCTGCCCCAGGCTGGCGCGTTTGGCGGCGGAGAAGGTGCGGGTGAAGACCCAGAGCGTGTACTTGGGGGTCTTGAAGGCCTTCCTGGGCTGGCTGCGCCGGGGCCCCCTTCCCGCCTGGGCGCGCGAGGAGTGGGGCGCAACAGCGGTCGAGTCCGTGGAGCGGGTGCCACTGGAGGGCGAGTCTGGTTAACCCCTGTGATCAGGGCGCGAGAACAGCTGATGCCGACCAAGACCGACGCCTTCGACGCGAGTGTCATGTCGGGCTTGCTAAGGCAGCGTTGGCTTGCCCGCTGCGTGGAGGCGCTGGCGCGGCGCCGCGGCCCCAGGATGCGCCCGGTCGAGCTCGGGCGTGGCCTTCCGAAAGAACTTCAGGACAGTGTTGAAGGCTGTTGGAGCCGTGGAATTGCGGGCCACGCTTCATTTCCTCCGCCGCGGAGGCGCCAGCCACGACCGCGGCGCGGCCGCCTCAACCTTGGCGGGCGCCCCACGGAGGGGCAGGTGGCGCACCTCCAAGAGCGGCACCCGACACGAGAAGCACGGGAGCATCGGCCTGGAGCTGCAGAAGCTCGGCGAGGCACTCTTGCGCCAGTCGCGCCGGCGCGTGGCTGGCATCGGGCGCGCCTTCGAGAAGTGTGTCGCGCAGCGCTCCAGGCCGCGCGCGGACGGCAATCGCAAGTGGTGATTGAGATATTTTCGGGAGTTGGCGAGCTTAGCCGATACTTCAGAGCCCCAGGTGAAGCCGTGATAGAATGGGACATCAGAAATGGAGAACGCTTCAATCTTCTTACTCCGGAGGTATGGCATGTGCTTCGAGGGTATATAACTAATCAGAAGGTGAAGGCTGTGCGGATAGGAACCCCATGTGGAGGCTAGTGTAGAGCCCGTCGTGCCCTTGTGCACAGTAGGATGCTCCGCGCAATCAGATCCCCCGAGTTCCCCATGGGTCTCCCTGGGCTTTCTGAGGGAGATCAGCGTCTTCTCATAGATTCCAACCGTCTTGAAGCCACTGGGATGATAATCCAAAGTCTTGCGCGTTGCTTGAGGGATCCCTGGACGTGGGGAAATCCGTGGCAGAGTGTTTTGCGACTCGCCGAACGCGTTATAGAAGTCTGTGCCTGCGGACGGCCATTTCGCGGCCGCACAGGCTTAAGGTATTGATGTTGCAAGCCTGACCCAGTCCTTGACCTGCTTCGCTGCCACGGTCGTGGCACCTGCCACATCCTAAAATACCCCACCTCGAGCTCACTTGCTCACAACAGGGGACAATTTTGATTAAGTTGAAGAAGGCCTATCCTCCTCTGCGTTGTTCCCTCTGTGCCTCTTCCCTCCGCAATGCAAGTTCCCGTCGATCAACGCATGCACGATGGTTTCAGTTTAAACAGCGCGTTCAGTACAATGCTTGAGTGATGGCTTTGTTGGGTAGAAGATGTTAAGAGTTTGCCAAGGCCCTTTGCCAGCAGTTCCTCGGCGGATGTCCTGCGTGCTTCAAGCAAGTTCGCTGGTTTGAAAATGCGCTCATGGAAGCGGTGCGCGAGAATTGTCAGCTTTTCTACCATCGCCGTTTTTTCCTCCAGTCTTTTTTCCACCTGCCCAAGGCCATCCCTCGCTTCGGTGGACTTCGAGACTACTGCGATGGAAATGCATTTGAAAATGTTCGGATTTGCCCGAGGCCCTTTGCCAGCAGTTCCTCGGCGGATGTCCTGCGTTCCTCAAGCAACTTCACCGATTAGAAAAAAAACAAAAAAAAAATTGGGCTGTCTTGGAAGTTTCTTGGGCCGTCCTGGGGTCATCTTGGAGGCCTCTTGGGTGCTCTGGGGGCGATCTTTGGGGCCACACGGGCCGTCTTGGACAGCGGGAAGGCTTAAGAGAAACATATGTCAAAATCATGTTAAAACTAATCGAAAATCAATGTTTTTCGCCTGTTCGGGATCTCCTGGGGGACCTCTTGGGCCATCTTGAGACCATCTTGGAGCCATCTTGGCCCGTTTTGAAGCTTCTTGGGCGATTTAGAAGGCATCTTGGGCCCTCCTTGGGCCGTCCTGGAGGCCATCTTGGACCATCTTGGGGGAACTTGGAGGCCATCTTGGGCGAAGCTGGAGGCCATCCTGGGTCAACTTGGGGCAACAAAGGCATCGACGGATGTGTTTTGAGATCCTTCCTGGGACCCCGGCAGGACGCGCCAGAACCCCAGGGGTTTGTTTGGTTGGAAAAGAACCAACACCGAAACCGAAATCATCTAGCACGCCAGGCACCCCTGTGATGAATCAACAGGAGGCGGCGGATCGAATGGCCTTCGGCCCATCCCGCCACCGTGATTGGGTTGTGGGTCGTGGGTCTCTGGGACATTCGTTGGGATGTCGCGGGGGGCATCTCGGGGGCTTTTTGGTGGCCGTCTTGACGCCTCGTGGGGGCCGTTTTGGGGCCACTTGGGGCGTCTTCGGGGCCTCTTGGGGGTATCTTGGGGCCTCGTGGGAGCCCTTCGGGGCCTCCTGGGGGCCTCTTGGAGCGAAAGACTCTGATTTTCGGTTCGTGCTCCCCCTCTTGGGCCCTTTTTGGTGTTATATTTGGGCCCTCCTGGGCCGTTGCGGGCGCCTCTGAGGCCGTTTTGGAGCCCTCTTGGGTTGTGTTGGGGCCCTCCTGGTGGCTTCTTGGGCCGTCTTGGGGCGGTCATGGAGGCCTCTTGGGGCGTCGGGAGCTCGAAAAGTCGAGGGACCTAAAATCATTGCAAACCCTTCCTGGGAAATCAATGATTTGGCCTCTCGGGGCCCTCTTGGGAAGGCTCTTGGGGCTCTCGTGGGGGGTATCGGAGGCGTCTTGGGCCATCTTGGGACCATCTTTGGTGTCTAACTTCGATATTTCGGCATTTCGTGGCCCTCTCTTGGGTCCGACAATGTCCTGCGACAAGATGCCCCAGTGCGCAGGGGGCACGCGACAAGCCCTCGTAGAGTTGAGAATGTGGGGTCCGGGTCGCCCAAAGATTTCTCAGGAGCGAGGACGGAGGCGTAAGGGACGAGGCAAAGGACCTGAGGACACGCACACTCCGCGCCAAGCGGCACGGTGGCGGCTTTTGTCCTCGTTATCCCGGGATCTCGCGCTGGAGCCCTTGGTGTGTCTGTCCTTTCCTGCCGTGGAGCTCCCAGGGCCCAACGGGGGCCCTCCAATCCGCTGCCGCAGAGCCTCCCGGGAACGCTCCAGAGGCCCTGATCAATACAGTCAATCTGCATAATAAGGATGGACATCTTTCCTCAAGGGTACCCTTGTATCCTTGCCTCCCTGGGCCATCCTTGGCCACTTTCGTTTTAGCCGCGCTCCGCTCAACAAGCTTCGACATGGGCGTCCAAGGCCCTTGCATCCTTATCGCGCATCCTTCTGATACGGATCGACTGTAGTTTAAGAAGTCAGATAATCTAGGTCATCCTCAGGGGGCGCGAAGATAGCTGCGCTTCGTGCGTCGCGGCCTGGACCGGAGGGGTGCTCTTTTCCACGGTAGCTTCGCGGGGCCACGAAGATCATCGCGCAGCGCACATCTCGGGGCGTGCCGCGCGAAGTTCTTTGAGCCAGACTTCGAATCTTGAAGTACATGAGCTGGTCCAGGCCACGCCACAATTTAAGATCTGCATAATTTGCCATCCAGCTGCACTGCTGCGCGTGTCCGCCATCGCGCGATGCAGGTTAGTGCTGGGGGGGGGGACGCTCGAACACTGGGGATGTCCACAGAAGGGGCCACTGACTATCTTGCGGTGGGTACATGTTTTTCGGAAGGCTAGGGGTTTGGAAACGTGGACCCCAAACCAGACACATGTCGGCATAAGCGGCGGGGGGTTCGCCATCGCCTTCCGAGGAGTGTAATCTTACACAAGACAAAACAACGAAGGGGCACAACTTGACACAGACCAGCTGTGTCATCACCGCGATGACGGATTAGCTGCAGGCGGCAGGTTTCGTCGCAGCTTACGTTTCGAAATTTCATCGCGCGGTCTGGCTCCATCGCCATCGGCATCGCACGCTTGGTTCTGGACCGCCTCACAACAGTGGCATCGTTGATCCACTTGCTGAGACGTGGAGAGGGGAGGCGCAGATCGCGTGAAGCGCTGGAGCCGCCTGAGCCGAGCCCGTCCTTCCATGCAGGTTTGGAGCCAACTCGGGGCGCCATCGCGCTGCCTGCGTGGAAAACGCAAGGGGGACAGGACCAGATACATGTCAGAGTGGATCAGTCGTGACGGTGATTAGTGCCAATGAGTTGTAAGCAGTCGTTGCCCTGATTGAGAGGATGTTTGTTTACAGAGGTTGCTGCACGATGGCCGTGTTCAGAATTGTGTTTGTATCAAAAATTGAAATCTCGTATGCATCTTCGTCATGAAGACGCCGTCGGCGAACAGGGTTTGTACCGATTGGCTGCGAGACGGCCTCGTCGCCATGAGGGGGCCCATGTTACGATGACTTCGATTGAGCGTCCGACGGTCAATGAGCCAAGGGCCTGAGGGGTCGACACATCAGATCTACAGGCTTACGCCACAATCGCCGACCCTTTTGGAATGCGTGTCTTGAGAAGGCCTGCGGAGTTTGTGGTTTTCTTGTGATCCGTGTTTCGCAGGTTGGCGGTGCTTGGTTGTTGGCTACAATTCTGAAGTTTGTGGGCATGTTGGGGCAGGGAAAAAGTGGGTCAGCCGAGCACACACACGCCACCTCACGTTCGGCTAGCGCGCGTCGGCGAATGTCGGGTGGTTTGCCATGCAGCGTCATGCCCGCATGTTTTGTGGCGTGGTCGGCGGTGCCCGCGTCTCGTGATTTTCCTTCTTCTGCGCGTTCAGCGCGTTGCAAGCGCGTGTCTGCCGCGTGGTCCTGTGGGAGTCCCCAGGGTTTGTTGGGGGTGGTTCAGGAGCTGTGAGGTTTCGTCCACGAGCTTGGGCTTCAGATTGCCTCGTCGCGTCCCAAGAGGGCTCCAAGAGGCCCCCAGACGTCCTTTCCAGGCGCGACCTGCTATGCGTTTTCTGCTGGCAGGACTATCTTTGGGTCCATCGAGATTTGTCTGAGGCTTCCCTGAAGCCGCAAAAAGGTGACAAGGCACAATTCACACCAGAAGCGCGATAAGGTCTTCTCTGCCTTCTTCGGGGCCATGTTCCATGTTCTGCGGGGCTTCATGGTGCACTTTTCTGGTCGGGCAGGGGTCCGGGAGCGCTCTTTGTTTGCTGCTTAGGCCTCTCAGGGCGCGTTGTTGCTCTCCCAGAGGGGCATTGCGGGATCGGAGCTTCGCCAGCGATTCTGCCTGGCAACGTGGCGGCGGCGAAATCAATGGGGGTGTGCTTGGAGGTTCTTGCAGGGGGGGAAGCGCCTCAGTGACCCAACTACTCGCAAAGGGGGCGGCGGATCCTTTCTGTTGCGGACATGGGGAAGTTGGCATCATGCGCGTTCCATGGGCAGAGTTCTTGCAGGACTCGGTCGCTGGGGAATTGTCGTGGGCGTGTCCGCTTTCCTCCTCACCCGGAGCAGCAAACTACGATCTGCGTCGTGCTCCTCATTCGCTTCTCCCTGTGTGTGTGCCTCCTTGCGTCGTTCCTCACACTCCTCTTGGGGTCCCTGTGCGGCTGCTTTGGGCACTGTTGGGGCCCTCTGGGGGCTCCTTAGGTGGTCTTGGGGCCCTCGTGGGGCTCCTTGGGTGGGTCTGGGAGACCTCTTGAAGTCGTCCTGGCCCCCATGGTTCAAAAAGAGAGTGGGTCCTCACTTCAGCCCTCCCCCCCTCGGAGGCTAAAACGTGCCGTCTTGGGGCCCTCTGGGGCCCCTCTTGGGGCTTTCTTGGGCTATTCAGGGGCCCTCCTGAATCCTGCAAAACTACGAGTTGGCAAACAAAAACATTGTCCGTAGGTTGTTGTATGGTTTTGATTTTTGTTGGGGGACCGTTGGGGGGCTCGATGAGCACTTGGAACCGTCTTGGAGCTGTCGTGGAACTTTTGGGAGGCATGTCGGAGGCTATCTTGAGCCGTCTCCAAGTATCTTGGGCAATATTCGAGGCCATCTTGGGCTCTCCGAGGCCATCTTTGGGCAACCTTGGACCAAAAAGGACGTTCTTACAATTCCATCCTTTCGACGAAAACCCGCTCGATCGTCGTACTTGTTCGCCCTGGCCTCCCTGCTGCTCCTGCTCTCGCTCCTCCTGCTCTCCTCGCGTTCCCGGGTCTTGCTGTCGCCCGTTTTCCGTGCTCCTGTTGCTGCATCTTTGGTGTTGGACTTTCGCACAAAGGGCTGGCGTATCCCAGGGCGGGAGCCGGGCTTGTATCCAGTCTTCCCTTCGAAAGGGCGCCAGTAGTTCGTGGACGGGTATCGTGAGCATCCAGTGTGTGTGTGTGTGTGTCAATCGCACACAGTTCATGATCACCGCGTCGTTGGCAGTGACGGCGCGCGCCGAGCAGGGCCGGGCCACGGGTGCATTAATAGAGGATTTTGAAAGAGGCCGTGGCGTGAGTTGGCTGTCAAGTTGCTTTGCCATCACGCGCGTGCTGCGACGAAGGAACATTTGGATGTTCTGGCCGTTCGCTAGGAAGCCGCGCAATGGAGGTGAGATGGTTGCTAATGCCGCGAGATCAGCGCTTGCGGTGCAGGCTGAGGCTACTGGTAGAGGCGGTCACGACGCATGGATTCCAGAGGAAAACCATCTTTTTGTCAGGAAAGCGCGGGCGAAAAATGGCGCGACACGTGCAAAGCGTGGGCTGCCAAAACGGAGGGCGGTATAACGAAGCGTCATGGTGGCGGCGGAGGCGGCGAGGCAACGGGCGACCTGGAGGCAACAAGGATTCGGGCCAGGTGTTGCGCGAAGTGCAGCCATGCCAATGCGAAGCGGATGTCGCGCAGTGGCAATGCGAATTGGATCGAGGTCGTTGGCGCAGCGCGATGCTCGAGCGACGCGCGCCTGTCGCGATTGGGCGAGCGGGAGAGAATGACGGGAACACGAACACAACATAACGTTGCTGGGGCGCTATGTCGGAAGTGCGTGGGGAAACGTCAGAACGTGACGCTCGAATCACACAGTCGCAAGCGGAGAACAGAAGCGGAAGCAACGCCGCTGACGTGGGGGAGGCTTTTTTTTCGGATGCGAGGCATTTGAAGACGTTATGCGTGGAGCGGCGCCGACGGGCGAAACAGTTTCGCGCGGCGCGCGCGGATTGCAAGAGCCTTGACTTCACGGCGCGCAGTTGGCAAGCAAATCGGTGCAGGGGCGCATGACAGAATTGCCGAAATCGGAGTTCTCTGCGAGGCCTGACCATGTCGCGCGCGACAAAAATGGCACCCTGAAGTGCAAAGCGTGCGCATGATGCCCATTCCGTCGCCCGCACCGCGGTCCATGGAAGTAGGGCCAGGAGAGGAGAGGGCGAGAGGGAGGACGAAACCGATTAGAAGAAACGCAGCTGATAAGGAGGGGGCGGAGGAGGAGGAAAAGGAAGAGGGGGAGGAGGATGAGAGGGAAGAGGGGGATGAGGCGGAGGCGGAGGAGGAGGAGGAGGAGGAGGAGGAGAAAGAGGATGAGGAACATGGGCAGGAGGGGGAAGAATAGTGAACATGTGGTTTGGGGGCCTTCACTCGGGTCCCTGGGCACCGTTTGGGACGAGTCCGGAACGCTCGAAACGCACGTGTTCAATTCGGATACGGAGGCCTTGTGCTGAGCGCCTTCCCTGACCGTGAAGTTTTCATGGTGTTCGGTCCACATCGTGGCCTGTTTCTGGGCCAGGCTATCAAAGATGTTTCGTGGGGTGAATTCGGATTGTTTCCGGGGCATTCGGGAAGGGGGGCAATGCCGCAGACCTTCGGGACAGTTCTTGGTGTCAGTATATGCGTTGGGAGTTACATTCAGAAGGGGTCACCATACACATGGAAACGTATAGGCTACAGCCCGCGCTCACATACGGCATCTGTCAAACCCCAGAGGCCAATCGGACGATTGACGGGGTTTCCTGGGAGGCCTTTTCGGGGGCGTTTTGGAGACAGTGTTCGGGCCTCGGGGTGGCCTCCTGGGAAGATATCGGGGGCGTCTTGGGGCTCTCCTCGGATTCCTAGGGTTTTCTTGGAGCCTTCGCTTGTTTTTTGGGCCAGTCTGGAGGCACCCTCGGGCCGAAAGCTGGACATGTCCGTTCGGGTTTCCCCGCTGGGCCCCCTCTTGGCGTCGCCCTGGGGCCGTCTAGTAGAGGGGGACGGAGAAGACAGGAGAGGGGAGGAAGTTGAGGGAAATCTTCTTCAACCGGGATGGAAGGCCGTGCACCAAACTTGATGGAGCTATTCCCCCCTCCCCGCTTCATGTTCCTGTTCCACCCCTGTCCATCATGAATAATTAATTCAGCCCTCTTCACCGCTTATGATCCGGGAGAGTGAGTCTTCGTGCAGCTCGGCGCATGGAGGGCGAATCGTTTTCAAAATAGTTGGTTTTCGCCTGCCTGTCGCCGCGCACATGCTTCTTACAAGTCCCGACTGTCACAAGGATGGAAGGCGGTCGGTCTTCGAAATGTTGTTCTCTCATCAGCGCCGCGCCCAGTCGTTTAAGATGCCTCCAGCTAGTACGACGATGGAAGGCGGATTGTTTTCACAATGTGGCTCGCATCCTTGCGCCGCGCGCATTCATCTTAGAGGCTTCCAGCTGTTATAAGGATGGAAGGCTGATGGTACTCACTTTGGGCATACTCAGAGCGTAGAAGTGCGCAGCAGCTACGCGGATGGAGAGCAGGTATTCTTCACAACGGGAATCATGATGCACATGTTCTCGACTTGCACATTTACTACGCGGTTACACTTGCTGTGGCTGGGGAGATGGATGTGCTGTTCAAGACACGGGGGTTTCTTGAACGGCAGGCCTGCGAGGCTCTGTTTTCTCGGTGGGGCGGGGCTCTCCGAGTGAAGCAGACTGTGCATCCGACTCTGCATCGGGCTGTGTGGCAGGTGCGCAAGTGTGCGGCCATTCTGTTGAGACTTCTGCAGGGCTGCATGTGCATGTGCATGCGACTTGCAGACCTCATACCGGAAGTGAGGCCTACGGAAATGAGCACTATGGAATTGAGTCCGGTGTAGAGGGGTCTTGGGACGGGAGGGCGTGCTGCAGCATCATCCCCTCTCCGCGGCCGCCCGCGTCCTCCTCCCGCCTCGGCGGTGCTCACCTGCCATCGCGCATCCCGACCTCGGCCTGCCCACGCCGTGCGATTGCTGGCGCCGCGGCGAGGAAAAGAGTGTACAGTAGGAGCAC